AGTCTTGTGATTCAACTTGGAAACTTAAATCTCTCAAAGAATAACTTTTCGAATAATTCCTCTCTTTGTTTCTGTTCAAAGCTGAGAAGGGCTAAGAGTCGGAGAGCTTGTTTCTCATCTCTTGGTGTTACTTTCTTGAATTTTGGCTCTAAATTCATAGTGTCGAGAAGGATGGTTCCAAGCAAGGCTTCACAACATTCTCTATCTTCTCTGAGCATGTCGTCACTCAACAATTCAGCTACCAAAGTACATGAAGATCCAATCAGATCGATAATTCTTCTCTCCGAAGGAATGTCATAACACTTCTCATCAACGTGATGATCAATAATTTGATAGACAAAGTTGCCCAATAGTGGTTCTTGTTCTGGAGTTAACTTGTTGTGATCTGTGAGAATGACTTGCAGATTATTCTCCTTTCCTAAGCTTTCTAAAACATCAATAAGAGTTGGATTTTGATGATAAAAGATTAAATCCTCTCCACTAATACCAAACTTTTCCAAGAACCAAGTAGCATCCGTTCTCAAATTGTATTCATCGGCTGGAATATTAATAATAGGAATGGAGGTAATCTTGTCTCTCTTATATTGAGCATAGGAAAAGACAATTGATGAAACTATAGAATCCAAATCACTAGCTAAGAAAGAATTCGATGATAATTTAATCCAATTTTTACACAATATTCACATTTGATGATTAATATTAAATTAACAATTAAAAATTATTAAAATTCTTCTCAACAACAACAAACCTTGATTTCCGAGACAGATTGCCAAGGTGCCACCATTAAAGGTCTTGTTTGTTACAAGATCTTTACAGGATCGCAAAAAAGACTTCATCAGTATTTTTTTAGTGAAGTTTTCCATTCTGTATTGTACAGTATTGGCGGTTGGTTATCAGTGAAGGACATTAGGAATTGTCTTTCTCTTAATAACGCGTATTGAGCGTATCAAGTCAACTTGACTCCCAACAGTTGGTAACGATATTACCAGTTGCTCTATTAAGGGAGAATCTTTTTGAAGGAATGAACGGTTAAATAAGTTTAACACAGCACTACAGATCCTGATTAATGGATAATTCTTGAAATTGTAATGAAGTAAATATCTTTCATAATAAGTATGTTCAATTCGAAAAGTGCATTTAATTGTCATTCTTGAAACAAAATCAATTCATCAGAAGACATTAAATATCTCTTAATAATTTATATTGATGTTGTTTTCAAGGCGCCAATATAACTGCTTCAAAACTGATGCTCATCATTGGTCATCATTATTAATACTCTCATAACTATATCATTTATTGGTCCGATCAATCTTCAGTGTAGTTGCTGCTCCTTGCTTTTTTACATCAGCAATCATCTGGTGTTATTCCTTAATGAATCGTGATGTGTTTTGTTGCGTTGTGTTTTCGTTGCAGCTGTTGAGGTTTATTGTTGTTGTGGTAGCTGTTGAGTGAAGCAAGTTTGGTGATGGGACAGGAAAAGCCTTGAGATGAAACAACTACAAAAAAAAATTCAAGTCTGAACAACCTTTGAAAATCATCTATTTTGAATTGCAATATACATCTTACTTTGAAGGAAGAAAGAGTACCTATTAAGAGAATGATGATGGACGAAAACAATTTTGAACAAGATGGACCTACAACAAAACCCTTATCTAATCAATTTTCCTCAGGACTAGATGAGCAGCATCATAATAATACAATGAATGGTAATCATGATGATATGAAGACCCATAATGATTCGAAAGCAAAACATGGAAAGATAAGCACACCAGGCACACCAGTGAGAAGTAAAAGTCCAACCCTTCCAAAGGAGAAGGGAACTAAGAGTTCGGAAAGAATGAGAGAATCATGGAAAACACCAGAGGAATATAAATCAAAAGCATGGACCAAGCCATCAGCTTGGGGTGCATCTAAAATGGATAGATTTAAGGATTCTAAACAAGAGGCTCCTCCAGCAACCAAGTACAATCTCAACTTGTCATCACTTGAAATTAAGGAATTCAATTCCATGTTCAAGTCTCAAAGCCCAAGATTTAAAGATGCTCGAGTAGAAACACCTCCTGCCACAAAGTACTCTGTCTTTGATCCTAATCTTTCAAAGAAAGGAGATTTAACTTCAACTTGCTTTAAAACAACAACTAAAAGAGAATATGAAACAGAAATCAAACCTAAATCTCCAGGTCCTCTGGTATATGAGCCAGTCATTCAAGCAATAGATGCCAAGAAGGCTGTAGTTTCTTCTTTTAGATCCTCCTTTGATCGATTCAGGGAGAAAACCCCATCATCCCCACCTTCAACAAAATACAATACAGCAACTTCATCTTTTAGCACTGTAAAAAAGGAAGCAACTTCATTCGGATCAACTTCTCCAAGATTTGATAAGGTTAGAACACAAGCTCCACCAGCCACAAAGTATGATACAAGCAAGTATTCCGATTTCAACAAAACAAATTCTCCTAACAATGCTGGATCTGCTCAATTCCGTTCGTCTACTGATAGATTCTTCAGAGCATCTGAGAAAGCAGCAAAATTAACACCACCAGCAACAAAATACACCATTCCAAGCAATTTAGATGAAATTATTTCGAGACCACCAACAAGGAAGTAAACTGTAAATCATAATAAATCAATATTTTGTACATTTTATCCAAATAAAACAACTTTAGTGAAAGCTATCATTTCCTCTTGAACTGGTCTAGTTTTTGGATGAAATATTTTTCAAATTAGAATAAAGCAATGCTAATATTATGTAAATATTTACAAATCGATTTATTGAATGTTACAAATTTGAGATTGGTTCTTTTCTCCCTTTGATTTCTTTCCACTCTTTGGAGGAGGAACACTATCGTCCAAAGCATTAGAAACTTCCTTAACAGCAGTCTTTGTCAAAGATCTAGCCTTTCTCATCATGGCATCGAAATCATTGTCAGAATCAGAATCACTGCTGCTTCCTGAATCACTGTCTCCAACAAGATCATCAAATTCGGAGAGAATTTCCCTAGCTTTTTGCTTAGAACTGATAGCAGCAATATCTTGTTCAAGTTTCTTGATATTCTTCTTGAGTTTTCTGTAATACTTTGAACCGACATTGGCCTTACCAGTCTTCTTAACTCTTGAACGCAAAGATTCATTTTCAGCCAAAGCAATGTTAAGATCAACAATCAAGTTTGTCTTTTCGCTGGTTAATTGTTGATTAACTTGCTCCAAAGTTGTAATCTTTTCCTTCAAAACTGATGGATCAACTACAGCAGCTTCAACATTAGCTTCAACAGTCTTCAATGAAAGGAATGGATCAGCAGAGTTATCAACATAATTTCCATTCATTATAGCCAAGTGGAAGCTTCTCAATTGATTCAATCTGGTTTCAAACATATCACGAGTCCATGTTTCAGAGTGACCAGTTTCAAGATCAGTAACTTCAACTTCAATTTGAGAACCGACAAGTTTAAGATCAATAGCAATACTTCTCTTAAGTTCAGCTACCATGATAGAAGCTTCTTGAATCCAAGGAACTAATTGAGAAACTGAATCGGTACTAGCAGAGGAGGCAATAACAGTTGTCTTTACAGCTTTTTCTATGATTATTTGGGACTTTTCAGCCATTTCTTGTTGAAGTCTATTTTCCATATCGAACAACTTCATAGACATTTCCAATTCCTTTCTTTGGAAGTCTCTTTCCTTTTCTTCCTTTTCTAATTCAATCAATCTCATTTGTTCTAACATTGCCTTAGTGTCCTTTTCGGCATTAAGAAGAAGTTCACTTTGCTTAAGAGCTAAGGATCTTGCCATTTCTTGTTGTTGTCTTTCCATTTCAACCTTTTGTCTTTCGATTTCTTCTTGTTGTGCCATCTTTTCTTCCAAATATTGTTGCTGGAGGAGAGTAAACTTTTCTTCTGCCTTTGTGGATGCTGAAGCAGCAACTGTATTTGATTTTTGGATTTGAGTCTTGAAAATAGCTCTTACAGCTGTCATCTTGAGTCTGTTGTCACTTAACTTTCTTTCATAATCTTCTCTTTCCTTTTCCAATTGCTTTTGATTTTCTTGCTTGGCAGAAACGAGTTGATTTCTGAGTTGATTGACTTCTTCTTCACTAGCTCCAGATTCAATCTTAGCAAGGAGCTCTCTTTCCTTAGCTTGGAAAGAACCAACCAATTCCTTTTCTCTCAACATGAACTTTTCCTTTTCTCTTTGCATGATGTCTTCATGTTCCTTATTCTTTTTTGTCATTTCTTCTTCAACCTTTGAGAGTTGTTCTTTATACTTTCTAGCTTCTTCTTCAGCTTGTTTTGATTTTTCTAACTTTTCCTTGAGAACAGAAACTTCAGAGTTGATTTGGACTCTGATTCTTTCTTCAGATTGAGCAAACATTTCATTTTGAGCCTTGATAACACCGTCAATTCTTTCCTTTTCCTTCTTCAATTCTTCTTCATATTTGGAAACGAGAGCACCATTGTGTTGGTTCTCAGAAATCAACTTTTGAATTTCAAGTTCTCTTTGTAATTTTTCATCAACTAAAAGTTGCTCCTTCTTTTGCAAAAAGTCCTTTTCTTCGTTGATCTTTTTTTGATATTCAGCTTCCTTTTCCAAGATCTTTTGTTGCAAAGCTTGATTTTCCTTTTCTAAATCTTCCTTATGCTTCTTTCCAATGTTAATTTCAGCCATAAGCTTGGATTCAAGTTCCATGATTTGCTTTTGGTATGATGAAGAAATATTCATCTTGGAAGCTTCCAACTCTCTTTGGTACTGCAAAACTTGTTCTTCATTCTTTTTCTTTTCAGATTCCAACATTTGTTCAATTTGCTTTCTTCTTTGTTCGTCATTCTTGTTTTGCAACAATTCAGCTTGCAACAATTTTTCCTTAGTAGCATATTCAGCTCTGAGTAAATCTTCTCTCTTCTTGGCATTTTCCATTTCTTGTTGAATGAGATCCTTTTGGGCTTGTCTTTGCTTTTCAATTTCAGACTTGACACTGTTGATGGTTTCTTGCATTTCTGTTTCTCTCTTCTTATGTTCTTGAACAAGTTGGTTAGTCTTTTCATCAATCAAATTCTTACTGAATTCATCCCATGCAAGTTTCCAATCAGAGTTGTTAACAGCGCCTTCACTAGGGTTATTGTATTGATAGATCAATCTGGAACCGATAACAAGTCTGTCTCCATTCTTGATCTTTGTCTTTTCCTTAATTTCTACACCGTTAACATAAACTTTGGCATTTTCAGATGGAGTGATAAAACCGGCAGAAATTGTGGCATGTGAGTCTAAAATACCAGCACCTTGAATTCTGACAGTGTTTCCTTCAGCAGCACCAATATTTGTTGGTTCTTGAACATAATAGTTAAGTTTTCCACTCAACAATGGATCTTCATTAAGGTTACTAATATGCAACTTGTTCTTATCGAAATCAAGTTCAACATTCATTTCCTTGAAAAATTCTTCTCTCTCCTTTGCCATTTCTTCAGTTCTTTTAATCTTTTCTTCGGTGGTCATTTGCATTTCAGTGATAAGCTTTTGGGAGGCATCTAATTGCTCCTTCAACTTGTCATACTCTGCTTGGGCAATTCCTCCAGGAACTCCAGTAGAACCCTCAGTATTTTCTCCAGCAGGAACAATACCCTTACCAGCAAGTTGATTCTTCAATCTTTCAACTTCAGCTCTCAATTGACTGATAATCTTGGCAGAAGGATCTTCGTTAACAATAGCCTTGTTGACAATTTGTTTAGCTCTGTCAGCATATCTGAGGGTTGAGAGAGATTCATCATAGTTGACATCAGCAGGAGAAATAGCAGCAATCATAATAGTTCTAGAGTTACCACCCAAAGATTCCTTAAGAAGGTGAGTTAACTTGGAATCTCTGTATGGAATGAAGGCAGTAGAGTTTTTTCCTGTGCACTTATCAGCAAGAGCCTTAATAACATTACCCAAAGAGGTCAATGAAAGGTTAATGTTAATACCTTCTTGAGCTCTAGCACCAGTAGCACCAGTTCTGGCCATTCTTTCGGAACCTGCCAAGTCGACAAGATTGATGGAGGAAACCTTTTGAACTTTTTGCTTTGTTTCAGGATGTTGAACGGTTTGCTTTACATATAAAATAAAAACGGTGTGAGCTCTAGATGATGTCTTATTCATGGCAGTAGCACCAGTAGTTCTAGCATCTTCACCTTGCTTCAACAACTTTAAAATTTGATCCTCTCCTTGAGCAACGTGCTTTGACAAACCCTCTATGATTTTTTAAATATTCCTCAATAAGATCCAACAATAAATTCTTCACTTACCAATATAGACACCTGTTTGTGGATTTTCTCTGATTTTTAGACCACCTGTTGGATTGTTCTTTGGATTGAAAAGATCCTTAATTTCTTCGTTATAAATTTCCAACATGGAGGCTTCAACACCATATTCAATAGGAACTGTGTTTTGAGACTTTGATTCTTCAATCTTTTGGAAAATACGCTTAGAAGCCATAGTGACTAAACCTTCATCCTTTCCTGGATAACCAATCATACTGTATGATTTACCAGAACCAGTTTGACCACTATTATTATTGTTGTTTAAATACAAATTATTCTCAACAATTTAACACTTACTAGGCAAACATGGAGGTGTTGTATCCTTGCCAACAGTTAGCAAGCATAGATTCTCCCATATCATTCCACAGAACTTTGTTATCAGCAAAGTTGGCATCAGCGCTATTAAAGCTCCAATAAGAATAGTCAAAAGTAAATTTGTTTTCCTTTCCTGAGGCAGGATCGCTTTTCCCAAGTCAATACAACCACAATTTCCTAAAAATTACTTACACCAAGATGGTCTGTGGACCATTCATTTGTACAATACATTTTGATTTACCTTCAATTTCGTAATCCTTGAATGGTCTTACTCTCACAGCAACCTTAACTGAATCAGCTGATGACATTTTTTAATGAGGGTGTGTAGAAAAGGGAGAGAAGTTGTTGAATTTTTTTTGGTTGAACTTGCCCTGATGTTGTATAATTAAAAGAGCCAGCCGAATAATTCTTTCAGTTATTTTACCTTGATGTTCGTGAATGAGTTGTAGTTGATGGTTGGCGGGAATATTTGTTCATCATAAAAAGTTCATTGTAGGGGATCGATTGAGAACATGTTCCCATTGTGTATCTCTTTTGATATTGTGTGATGGAATCAATCGATAGGCTGATCCTAATCATCTACCTCCGAATTGGATTTTCCTTCTTAAATTAATAAACATTAATTTATAGTGAATTTCCTTTTCAAAAAGAAATGAATAGAAAACTCGTTAAGCAATTTGCAAAATTAAATGGAAATTATCATCATCAACATTCATTGATGATGAAGAATTCGAGACAGTCCTTCTGTTTGTGTGTTCTTTGCATGAAAGAAAACCCGAAACTCTCCTCAAAAGATCAACCTATTAAGCAAACTCTCAAAGATCCTCTCCAAATGGCCATGCAACAACAAAGGGAAGTATTAGAAGAGAAATCGGACGAAATTGCTCAATCAGTCATGAAAAACTTTCAACCCATAACTACCAATGAAAGCGAGAATCAAAGAGGACCATCCAACAATGAATACAGTCCTGAGAGTAAATATAAATTGGATGATGATGGAATTGATAGAAATTTGGATGGAATGGGAAGAATTCTCAATTCTCAACAAGGAAAAGTTGCAGAAAAGACAATACCACTCAAAGTTGACAAAAGCCGTGAAGATTTTCCTCCAACTCAAAATCCTCCAACTCCAGAACCTTAGACATTTGGGTTAAAAGTGTTTTTTTGATGTTTTATTGGAAACTTGATGAAATACCCAAAGTGGAAAGTAAAATTGCATTGTTGATTGTTCATCGTAGGCAAATGAAGCTCTCCTTCTGAGAACACTTCTTCTCTTTACTGTTTTCTTAGTTTTGTGAATAGCAGTTGGTTGGTTAGGTGTCGAATTGTCATTCAGTGAGGTGGTTCTAGTTTCAGATATCGAATTGGAATCAACCACCTTACTTATTGAAAAAGAGGTCTGTACATTCTCTTCAATGATCTGTTGGTGCTTTCTTTCATCAAGGTGATGATTTGAATTTTCTTCTGGCATTTCTCTCTCATTTGTCATGATTATTGAAATATCTTGATAATAACTTCTTATCAAATCTTCGTAATCTAAAGATAACATAAGCTGTGTATCTTCATACTTGTCAATGATTGGTTCCCTGCTCACTGGATCCAACAGTGAAGATCTTGTGGTATTGGTGGACAATGGTGGAGAAAAGGAAGGAGATGGAAGGGAAGAGCTAGCTGATGAAGTTCTTGTTGGGGCCAATTCATCACGAGAATAGTATTGACTGTTAAAAGAACAAGATAACATTTGGTCGCTATTGACATTTCTTGGCAAATTTCTCTTATTAGTTTCCTCTCGAGACGAATCAATGACGGAAACAAGAAATTTCAGCATCAGGTCTTCAACAGAAGTAATTTTCGACATCTCTGTTGGGATTGTTGTATTAGAAGTGTATCAATTTTGTTTGTTTTTGAAAATTGCTATTGAGCCAAACGAATTTCATCGAAACCAAGCGAAACAATATGGTGGGAAATTTTTACTTTTCTTGTCACACACCTTCCCTTTGTGAATTGTCAAACTGTGACAGCGCTAAATCCAAATCCATAAGCTAGAACAGAAAAAGGCTGATAATACACCATTGTTGACACTAGTAGCATCTTTCGTCCACTTTAAGCTAAATTTCTCCACCAATTTCACTATTGTTTTGGATTTAAGCAACTGTATTGTGTAACCAACAACTTTTTAGAATCGTATGTCCACGTCTTTGATGCTTGTAATACCTTGAAAATTAGCATGAAACCAATTATGCATTTCGAATAACAAAAAAGAATAAAACTGACCATATAAAAGGAATTTTGAATGTCCATAACAACAGAATCAAACCATATTGTTAAATAAATCACACTGTCCTCTAATACCGAATTACTCCGTTTTCTTATGCATCCTTAACTAATACTAAAAAACAATTCTATTTAGTAATGTGCCATTTTGACAAGTTTGCATTTGTCTTGAGATTTCACTCAGATTTTTTCATCCCACTTAAACATCCAATAAATCATGAAGTGATTCTTGAAAATATTTCCAATTTGTAAAACGTGTCATTTAATCACAAATCTTCAGAATCCTGCAAAATTTCACTCTTTGCAATATTTTGAAGAAATTTCTTCTTTTTCTTAATATTTAGAGGTAAATTTTTATAAAAGATGGAGTGGTTCAATAGTATTTTCTAATTCTCAGTTTTACTGTAAATTTCAAAAGGAATGTTTCGTCAGCAGTTTAGTTTATAAAACTAAATGAAAAATGTTAATTGATTTTAAATTTTTGGAAAGTGGACGAATATGAGGAAAATCCAAAATTAAATTGAATGAGATTGATTTTCAAAGGTAAATAAGGGAGCGGTAAAAATAGATTTCAAACACATCCTTAAAAAAATGAAACCGAAATGTTGTATTGGAAATGTTTCGAATACTACAACTTGGACGTTTAGTTCAATAATGAAGAGCATTCCGATAGAAGTTATACAACACAATATTTTCCCCTATATGGAACATGCTGATTTGAAATATTGTAGATTGGTTTGTAAACTGTGGGACGAATTTTGCCGAAACACATCAACATTTATTCTATTGAATGTTCAATTAAAATTTGATGAAGAACTGTTTCATTTAAACAGAAAAGGATTCGGTTTCCACGATTGGACAATCAACAAATTGAAAATTGTAAATAATAATATTGACTATGAATATATTTATCAGATTTTAAGAGAAATTAAACGAAAGAGCGATTTGGAACATTTAATTTTGGATAAAAGAATTGATTTCAATCAGCCAATGAGTCAACTGGTATTAAATTTCCCAAATTTGAAACATTTTTCTATGAACAGCACAAATCTCACCAATCATGCTGGTTTGATTCGAATAGTTTCCAATCTAGAAAGTTTAAAACTAAGAGTAATGAATTTGGAAAAGGACTTTCTTCTAAACTTGACCAATAATTTTGGATCCAATTTGGTAAAACTCAAAATTGGAGCAAGTTTTATTGGAAATGAACATTTATCATGTTTGACAAGCTGTAAACAAGCAAGAAATTTGAAATGTTTAGAAATTGTTTCAAGGAGACATGAAAAATTTAACATTGAGGCTAATTTTAGTAATTTTAAGGAAGTGGAAGAGCTGAGTTTGGAATTTGGTGATGCCAATGGCGAAGCTTGTTTGAATGAAATTGTAAAGATTGAGAATTTGAGAGTTTTATCCTTATCGAGGATGAATCTGGGTGATATTTCTAAACATTTTGAAAAACTGAAGAGATTAGAAAGTCTTTCACTTCATAATTGTAATTTTAAAGGATTGAATCAAGTTTACAAATTGCAGAGATTGAAATGTTTGAGTATTAAGGGAGGCACACTGGATGAGCAGGATGTTGTGGGAATTTCACAATTGGAGTTGACTAAATTGGCTTTGGATCGTTGTGGAATCTCTGCAGATTTGATTTGTAAACATTCAAGAATGAATTCTTTGAGGGAACTTTCTCTAACAGGAATTCCGCTCACTGAGGAAGCAATTTCAATAATAGGCAGAGAATTTACCCAATTGAGAACACTCTCCATTAGTTCAATATCAATGGAAAAGGAAAAACTTCAAAGATTGTTAAGAAATGATTTGTTTAGCTCTCTAAGAAATCTCTCCCTCATATCTTGCAATCTCAATGATGATCATTTGGAAACAATCTTGGACACAACAAGTATTCTTTCCAGATTATCCAATCTCAATATTGATTTGAATGATTTTTCAGAGAATTCCCTCAAATCTTTGCAAAATCAAAATGCTGCCTCAATGACAACCATTTCTACCCGATCTAGAAAGTCCAGTTTCAGCAATTCTGATCGACCTACCTCTCCCAAAAGAAGAGAAAAACAAGGATGTCTATTCCAATAAATCAACCAACTCGAAATCCAATTTTAATTCTCATCCAACTCAATTAAAGTACATTTATTTACAATTATTCCTCTTCCTCATCCACTACACATGCATCATCGCTTTCATATCCACTTGTTGATTTTCTTGGCATACGATTACCAATAGTGCTCTGGAAACGAGGAGCATTTGGATTTGGGAGTGGTCTCCTAGAATCACGAACAACAGCTCTCTTTCTAACTGGTATTTTGATTTTCCTCACTGTTTGTCCTTCATTGTCAACTTCTGCTGTTTGTTGTTGATTCACTCCTTCTACTGTATTTGCTGTTGGTTGTTGACTCATTTCCTCATCACTATTCGATTTTACATCTTCCGTAGTATCGTATTGTTGTGGAGATTCTTGACGTTGATCAACAACTGCTTGTCTTTGTTTTGGTGAAATATCCATAACTTCCATCACTGGAGGTTCTGTTAGATAAGTTTGTTTCGAATTATTCATCTCCAAAGGATTCAACAAAACAGGTGGTTGATTAAACGAGGTTTGTGGAGAAGTAGGAGTTGGCAATGCTTTCAAATACCCACTATGTGTCTTTATGCCATTGTGTGGTGTTGTACTAATTTGTGGAGGTGGTGCCTGTTTCTTCACTGGTTTATCCCAAGTTGTCGTGCCAGATTGTGCATGATGATAATAGTACTGATTGCTTCCGTAATCGTAGTAAGCTACCCAACCCTCTTCCAATTGTTCTTCCTGTTGTTGTTGTTGTGTTGTACTAGTAGTTGTTGTTGTAGTTGTTTGTGTGTTGGAAACAGTTGCAGTTGTTGAGGCAGTTGTTGAAGAAGAAGACGAATTATTGGAAGTGTTTGATGAGGATATTGAGGATGCTGATACTGATGATGATGATGATGTACTGCTGCTATTATTTGATGATTCATCATCTCCGAATATAGAATGTGCTTCAGCAATCAGGGTTGTCATTAAATTACTAGAATATTTGGAATCCTGGAGAATTTCCATGTGACTTTGAGGAAGATCTGATTTTAACAAGTTAGGAGCAAAAACAATGGCCAAATTACTTGGCGACATTTTGTTAATACTTGAATTTGCAGCAACTTTCTTCAAGAATAAACATAAATTCTTTAAAATTGTAAAGTTTGTGGGTGGAAGAAACTTGATTACTTTTTGAATCATGACCAATCTTTGTTCTTCATCAGGAATTCTCTGAATATTTGTGAATTTCATGAATAATTTTCATTTGAATTATATTTTCGAAAGTCAAATGATTCGAATAAGATCTAAAAACAAGTCTAAATAACATACCTCAGCTGCCAAAAACATTCCATACTGTTCATATGTCAATAAAGGATCCATCAATTCTCTCAAATACAATTTCAGTAAACTACTCGCCAAGTGAATTTCATATTTCTCATACGGAACATCAAATTTAATATTTTGCTCTAATTGTTGAATGACTTCATCTTCATCTGATTTTTTAGGTGAAATTCTAAAGATACCTTCAATCTTTAGTCCATTTTCGTCTAGATAGGACATGGCTTTTAATACGAAAGGAGGTAAATCATTTGGATCGAGTGGAAGTTTCTTTGCAAAAACTTTGGAATTTGCAAACTTTTCATTGGTTGGGAATTTTTGTGAACCTGGTGAGTTAGCAGCAACTGGTGATGATGGTGAGTTGGAATTGGTTGGTGGAGATGTCGATTTCTTGTTATTCTTTTTAAAGATTTTCATCCCTTCTTCTTTGTTTTTATACGAAAGTAAACTAATGCTATTAGAAATATGATGAACACACACTATTGTATGGTCAATATGAAGATGTTGAATGGAAGATGATGACGAAGGCTTTGTTGCTAATCCGAAAGTCCCAAATGATACTGTTGTGTTTTTGTGCTATTTTTTTTTATGCTTGTCTGAACATTCATTGGACATTTGACGTGTGAGCGGGTCAGCCAACAGAAACTTGATTCCTAAAAACCCGTAAGTCTGAGGATTCGTGAGACTCGAGATTAATATTGGCAAAACGAATCCACATATTTCATTGTAATCAAATGCCAAATGCCAAACTGTCGAGACAATAAAGAATATAATCAAGCAAAAACAAGAGAAGATGTAAAAAGAGACAAGATATAAATTTCTTCATTGTGAAAAACATCAAATATTGCAAACGAACATGAAAACAGCAAGTAACACTATTTTCTAAATTTATTCTTATTGAGGCAAGCTTTGATAGCATGAATTTTATTTCCTTTTGGGGATTGTTGTAAAATTAAAAGGAACAGGAAGTTTGGTAGAATGTCATGAAATGCTTGCCGAATCTATTCGAATCAATTTTATTATTAATAATTCGAAATTAGGATCTTTTTTGTCGTGTCTGTTAAAACAACTTTCGCACAGATTTAATAACCCAAAACGAAACTACACTTCCCACCAATACATTAATCAATGAGTTTACAATTATTGTAAAGGCATTCATCAAGACAATTTCAATTTTTTCAATGAAAATTGGAATTATAATTTGAGAGATTGAATCTCCTAAAACTTCACTAATTGTTTTTCCCAATAATTTGCTCGCAATTTTCAGCTCAAAATCTTGTAACAATTTTAAAGAGCTAACGTTTACAAATTGTAATGGAAGTGAAGAGTTTGATAAATGTGGAATTGTAAAATAATCAAATTTCATAGAGATGGAAACATGTTCGAGTGATATTTTACCTTGATCCCAAATAAAATTCTTTCCTTTTTGGTTAATTCTTTGAATTTTGTAATCAAATTCCAAATTTGTTAATTTAAAGTGATTTAAATTTTTCAAATCCAAAATAATAGTTGTATTTTCCACAGAGAAGAGTAAATTAGAATTGGAAAGTACTTGATTCAATAGTGAATATTTCAATTCGATGGATTTTTCAAATTTAATTGAAGAGAGAAAGTAAGATGAGAAACTTTCCGAAATGGCAGTTGAAGTTTTTGAGAGGAAGGTTGTATGTTCCAAGCCTGATGAATTTTCCAATAGAAAAAAACAAGCAAGCAACATTAGCAAAAACACGTGTTTCATTTTTTTTTGAAATTAGAAACTTAAGTTTATGTAGTTTACAATGAAGAATGGTCCCTGCCATGAAAAATTGGATAGTAATTGCAATTGTTAGTTTTTGGAGTCATCTTAATTTTATTTTAACAAAGAAACAAAAAGACTACAGCACCACAGGTTCCCAAGTTGTCTCCAACCTCAGTACTGATGTGGCTCGACGATGCTTAACTTCTCAAATCGGACGGGATGAGGTGCATTCATCGTGATATGGCCGTAGCCATTCAATTACTAGATTTCTGAGTTATAAATCAAAGTTGCAATCAATTTATTTTCGCAACTAAGCTTACCATGCAATTACAAAATAAAGTTGATAGACAATTGGTGAAACAGACCTGCCTTTGAAGGATGTAAATCTTTATTGATCATTCCATCAGGTCTCAAAATAATCCTACCCTGGAAAATTAAAAATATGCCGACACCAGGGATCGAACCAGGGACCTTAAGATCTTCAGTCTTACGCTCTCCCAACTGAGCTATGTCGGCTTCTTAATTCATATGTGTAAGTATTAAGGTTCCTTATATAAGAAAATGGAACTTTAGCAAAGTTGCCTCTAAATTGGTTAAATAAAAAAACCTTTAAACTGTTAGAAAATGTTTAATAAAATGGTTCCCCTCCATTATAAACGTCCAAATATTCGATTCCCTCGAACTGTCTAAATCTGAAGTAATGAGCACCTGCAACTGATTGAATTAGGGCAGGATCCATCTCACTTGAAACTATTGAGGCATCAGGAATCATTTCTGATGTTACCCTTTCAACAATCTCTTTCAGTTTTGGAATGTTAAAAGTACCTCCGGAAAGGATAACATGCTTAATCTTTGGTACTCTTCCATATGGCGAAGGAATCATTCCCTCTGTGATGGATTCTCTTAGTAACTTCTCAAAGTTTGCAAATTCGTTTTCACATAGAGTGTAAAATTCATCCCTTGTAACTGTAACAGAAGATCCATTTGAAAGTTCTACGATTGTGGAATTATTGATAGAAAGGGAACCCTTTACCTTTTCACATTGCTTAAGATCGATTGAGGAGCTGTGCTTTTCTTCCAAATGCTTCAATAAAATGAAACTGAAATCCTTTCCATTACAGCATTCCAAAAACTTTTCAAATATAAGATGACTGTAGTAGTATTGAGAAACCTCACTGATATTGACTACTGGCTTACTACTTGACCAATTAACCACTAGACAATCACTGCCCATAATTGATTGGATGAATGCATAAGGTATAATTTCTCTTCCATCCTCACAACATTGCAAGACTGACAATCCACAAGCTTTAGCAGATTCTACAACTAGATATTTATCCTCTGTTGGGACTAGTAATTGTACAATTTTGGTTGAGAAGTATTTCACATTACCATCAAGATTGATCCGATCACTTGCATAGCTTGTCTCCATGTGTTGTTTGAATTCTCTGAATAATTCCTTCATTCTTTCACTGTTCGAATAAATATTTTCATCATTCGTTTGAATAACTTTTGCTGTTACTCCAACTGAATTACTAATTGAAATTGAAGCTTTCCATCGAGTTCTTCCACAATCAATTGACCAAGGAGCATGATTAAATTTACATCTGGAAATGATATTGTCTCTAATAGCTTGATCTCTTAAAGTAGTAATTGCCCATGAAATAACAGGTTGAATTCCATCCAATTCAGGATTGTAATCAACTCCCATAAATCCAGAAATGTAATGAAACTCTTTCCACTTTTGATGATTCAACACCTCGACACTTGTTGCCGTAATTGGATTAGGGAAGCATCCAATTTCAAAAGCCTCTCTCCATCTGAAAACTTTTGCAAGTTTCTCAACTTCAGACTCTCCAGTTTCTTCAAACAAGTAGCCCTGAGAGAAATCATCAGTATATGGTTCATTTTCAGCAAATTTAGAATCCATCTCGATAAATTTCTGTAAATGGTATGAAACTCTGTTCTCTTTATCATATGGGAAGAAGTAATTGATCCATCCAGAAATGAAATCAAAGCCACTGCTAGAATCAAAGAGAGCAATACCATTCCAAAATGTTTTCAACTCTTCAGTGAGAGTTTCTTCTTGGGCTGTTTTGATAATCCTATCAAGAATGAGTGTCAAAACCTTTCTCCACCAAGCCATATCATATTCGTCAAGGAGTTTGAGCTTCTCTCTCATTCCCAACCAGTCATCCATAGTTCCCAAAATTGTAACACTTGGAAGACCACATAAGAAATCATTCTTATACGAATAAAAATCCTTAAAAGCTTCCATCAACAACATTTTCGAGGCAACTTTCTCAACTTGGGTAGAAGTTGAAAAGTTGTGATCTATAAAGTCCATCAATTTGATTTTTCTCTCATCTCCCTTATGGGATGAAACATCATTTACAATTGCCTGATGAATTTCATTCACAACTCCCTCCCAATTAATCTCAGCACTCACTGGATCAATATATTGAGGCATAGCAACAACAATATCCATCTTGTTTTGCTTTTCTTCAGCATTGCCAATCAATTCAGGTCTCAAAGCCAAATGCTTTACCAATCCCTGTGTAATCATCATCCAAATGTGATCAGGACTCACAATCAATGGATAATGTTCACTGTAAGCAGTACAATAACAAGCAACAACAGGATGAGGTCTCACCAATAGATTCTTCAATGCATAGACATTATCGGGTGAGTGTATGACACTGTAACGGGATCGAATTAAATCCTGATCAACTTTATCTCCCTTCTCAATGGTATTAGTAAATAATTGATTTAATAAAACTCTTTCAGAAGGCTGACTGTAGAGTTTGCCAATTTCATAGGGTTTGGCTTCTTCTTGTTCATCCTCATCAATCGGATGCTTCTTCTTTGGAGTCCATGATGAAGCATAGAAGGGAGTAAAATCCCTCTTACAAAGAACCTTCATGTTGCGCAATTTTTTTGGAATTGTTCCATCTTGTTCCTTAACAACAATATCTTTGATATCTGCTTCCAAAATATTTGTGCTTTCCCTTGTAAGGTGTTTTGTACAGTCCGCAGAGCAAAGATTGAGAAATTACAAAGGATTTGAAAATCATAAAATATATCTTACACGTTTATAACTTAGGGGTAGTGCTATTCTTTCTTACAGTAATTTCCTCATTTAGGTTTTCTTGTATGCATGCTAAAATCTTAGATTTGTTTTCAATGGCATAAAATTGTGACATTAAGTGAATTTGTTGAATTGGAGAATAGATTCTTATATTAATTCTTGCTTGAACTAGATCAAACCAATTAATGGAAGGGGGTGGAGCTAGAATTCCTGTAGTATATTCAGCAAGTGATTTCTCATCAATACTCCAATTATGTCTATAAATTTCTTTCCATATAACATCAGACTTGGCAGATTCGTACCAATGTCTACAAACAGAGAAACATGTCAATAAATCAGGTATATCCAAAAAGAGGAATATATACACTAGGGAATCTGTAGTAATACGTCTATTGAGTTCACCATTATTCTTCTTTGATCCTTGCTTAATTGTAAGTTTAAATCCTTCAATGCATTGCATTAAATAGTCAGATGAAATATATATACAATTATCAGAATTATTTGAGAAGGTTTTCTGAATATTTTGTAAACTTAATACTTGAGTGTCTGATCCTACTGGAAGTGTGACAATCTTTCTATGTTTGGGTTTGCTTTGAATGACAACAGGTTTTTCTTCTTCTGGCACATACTCATCATCGTCAGCTTTTCTCTTTCTTTTACCTTTTCCAGTTCCAACAATTGTTAGTTCAGATTCCTCATCCATCATCTGATCTGCATCATCTGTACTTGATTGAGGTGCACTTGGAAGTGGTTTAGTTCTTGGTCTACCTCTTCCTCTCTTCTTTTCCACTTGTGGTGGTGATGGAGGTGGTAGTTCAACACTTGATGAGGCAGAAGCTACAATTGTTTGTACAGTTGCTTCCAAAGGAGGTGCTGGTTTTTTCTTGTTGGAAGAACCTTTTGGACGACCTCTACTCCTCTTTCCTTGTTTTTCAGGTGTTGAAACATTAGTAGATGTTGTTGTGGCAGCTGCTTCCAATGATGTTTGTGTGTTTGTCAATTGTGAAGAGGTTGCAGATTCCTCAGTGCCAGTAGTACTACTACTAGAAGATGATGGTTTGCTTTCATCAGTTGCTTTAAGAGATTCGGAAACAAGATGGCCTGCATCATTGTACTTGATAAAAGGTCTCACTCCCTGTTGGGCTCCTGTACCAGGATCTAAAAAGCCTACATTAGTGGAATATTTAATACCACAAGCATTACATAATGTTCCTGTTCCAAGAGGTCCCTTTCTCCAAGTAGGAGTATCCATACATCCACAATTAGAGCAAACAGCCTTCGCTTGAATTCTCTTCACTTTCAATGAAGAAACAATAGAATCTCTTTCACCTTCTGCCAATTGTACAATTTCACCCTTCTTGCCAGGCTTCTTTTTCTTTTGGTGTTCTTCTGTGGTTGCTGTTGGTACTGTTGTGGATGCATCCTTGTCCCAAATTAATTGTAGTGTGGTTGGTGCCTCTGTATTGATTGTTGTTGGTGGTAAATTGTTACAAGGAAGGGAGGAAGAGGCTGGATCTTGTCTGCCAACTTGTCCTCCTGAGGCTGAAAATACATTGGGAATAACAGATGATCCATTCACAACACTACTAATAGAACCCTTCTCGGCACTAGAGGTTAATTGATCCAGAATACTACCGAGTGTTATTTCATTGGTGTTATCTGAGGTCATCCCGACAATCCCTGGCGTGTTAGTATCAACAGATGAAGCAGTTAGGGGTGTACTAGACTCTTGAACCTCTAGTTTGACTGTAGAAGATGACAACACGTCTACAGCTGCTGGACTAACAGTGTTAGCCTCCTGAGTTGTTGAAGGAGGATGATTCAGCTGTGTTTCTTCTTGGTTTTCGGAGGCGAGGCTCATTTTTTTAATTAAAAATAATAAAATATTTGTGATGATGATAGAAAATTGTTCATCAAAGGACAACCTGTTGTGATCTTTGTTGTAACTTGAATGGAACACAATTTTAGATTAATGGATTGTGTTTATTTTGTGGTGGTTGTACTGTGTCGGATGATCGTATTGCAAGACTTTCATTATCTAACTTTTGTCATTTTCAAATATGTTGATTATTATTGCAATGTTGAACACAATTTGGATGAGAACAAGGATTAGATTCTTTCTTGATGATGGAAAGAGAAAGAAGTGAACTTGCTATTACAATAAAGTTTAAAAAAATGACTTCGGCTCTGCAGCCAGGGAAAATGCTCAGCAACAATAACCAAACATCAAGTTGTTGCCCACCATCTTCTCAGTTGCAGCATCAGCAAGGAGGTACAATGACTATCGGAAGAATGTCTTCAGTGGCCAATCATCATAAACGTGGTGGAGCTAATAGCAATGGAAAGAGAGGACTGAACATGACTACAACAAGAATAAATCAACAGAAAGAAATTAATGATGGAGAGGGTATGAGAGATGATTCATCTCTCATTAATCAGAAGCTTCAAAATAGTAGTAATGATAATAATAATTCGGAAAGGGAGAAGGAAACAATTGTTAATTCAGATCGTTTGAGATTATTGCTTTTTAATCATAAAAGCAGAAATACAATTTATAATAATTCTCTAAATAAGCAACAAGTAACTGTTAAGAACTTGGTCCATGTCGGTGTTGAACAACAGCCAGCAAAAAAATATAATCATTCTCAATCAGAAAAATCAGACAATTGTTTTGATGAAGGAAATCAAGAGAAAATTAATAGTACTGTGGAAGAAATGAATTCTATTATAAAACCGAAATGGTTAAAATCTATTGTGGATAATCAGTGCGATTTGGGTTTTGTGAAGGAAAATGGAAATTGTACAAATATGAATCATTACCCAAAGATAAGGGAAAATAATTCTTTTATGGATACCAAATCAAAGAAAGTTTCAAAAGAGTCAATTAATGTGAAAAAGAAGAATGGTTCCAATAGGAAAATTGAAAGGACAGAAAAATCCTTTAATAATGTAATGTTGGAGTTATTCAAAGAAAGGTCAACCGAAATACAACCTCCACAAGATATTCAAAGTAATGACACAATGTTTACAAAGCTAACCAAGTCGTGGAATAGATTCTTATTCTGGTGGATTAAATGGAAGAGGGATTTCACCACCAACACCATTCACCAATTTTTGAGTTCATATGATCCAGTGATGAGGACATTTGAGTGTGTTTTCATATTTTTCGAAACTTTTAGAATACCCTATCCTATTCGATATGCTGTTCATCGAATCAGACACTTTTTATATTTGATATTTCAATTTGTGTGGACATCCACATTTCTCTTTGAGGAAAATTCAGAATTTGAACGTGAGCTTTTATCTCACAACAATAGAAGAAACGACTCTCAAATCTACAATGCCGATCCAAGATATTATTACGATGATGTAAATTACTATTCACAAAATTAATTTAAGATTATAAGATATAATAAGAAAATTGGTAGTATTAATATGAATTAGTTTATGCTCAACGTTAATAGCTAAAGTAATAGAAAATATATTGAGAATAGGGAAGAACGCCTTTTATTAACGTTAAATATTTAAAAAAAATATTTTAAGGAAACTCAAAGCCTTAGAAAATTTCTAACCGACGAAAATTTTCATCCCTCAATCAAGCGTTCTATCATTGTGATTATTATATATATTGCGTGTATATTTATACTGTTGGAAATTGTAGGACCAATCCGTTGATGATCTAATATTCACTCACAATTCGAGGAAAATGATAAGCAACAACAAGTTACCATCATCCATATTATTATCATCATCTTCAAATTCTAATAACAATAACATTTCAACAACACCACGAGGGGAAATGCTTACCATCAATGATTTGCAATCACCTTCTCCGAATAGATCTGGAAGAGTAGCCTCTTCGGGTTTATTATTGGCAACATCAACTCCTCCTCCCCTCAATATTTCAAAGAAGCTGAATAATTCAACGATGGGTTTAGCAAATAGTAATAATAATAGCAACAACAATAGTAGCAACAATAGTGCTCGTGTGAGTCCCCTCGTTGAAAGATTGAATGCAGTTAAGAACACAGCCCAATCATTTAATGGAGGATTAATGGAAGATTTAAATTCTAGGAAGGAAGTAGAACAAACCAAAGTGTACGAACTAAGAGATACTGTATCTAGATTGGAGAAGGATTTGACTATGGAAATGAGGAAGAGAGCAGATGGAGACAAGGTCTTACAAACAATGTGTGATAACAAGATAAATACTATACAGGATTTGATAGAGAAGAAAATGTCTGAAAAGTTTTCTCAAATGCAACAAACTGTTGATACTCTCACTAAACGTGTTCTAAGTCTGGAAAAGTGTTTGGCTGAGGAGAAGGATTATTCATCCAAGTTTTCAACCTCTATGAAATCTGGTGTTTTGGGACAATTGGAAGAACTCAGAAATCTAGTTGAGGACGAAAGATTGAATCGATTGGATAGAGAATCTCAAATGATGAGAAAGTTCAATGATGAATATTACAAACTCTCTCAAAAGTTAGACACTGAAAAGAAATCTAGGGAAATATTTATGAATTCCACACGTGAGGAAATTGAAAGAATTGAACAAGCTAAGGCCAAAATTGATCAGGACTTTAGAGCTCAACTCTTTGAAGAAATTGATTCGATTCGTGATGAAATCAAAGTTGAAAAGGAACAACGAGAAATTGTCGATGAGCAAATAGTTTCTTCCTTAGATACGATTATCAAGGAAGTCCACGACTCTCTCAGATTAGTTACTAAATAAAAGAAACAAACCTGTACTTCATTGATACAGTATTTTACTAATGATATTTTTGATATCTAAGCTTTTCAATATTTCAACAAGATTCGATTACATTGCAATGGCATTTCCAGATGGCGACAATGGCGACTTTTTTATCAAAATTAGAAAACCTTCCATACCAGTTTGTATTTAAATTTACTAATCTCTCCAAGCAAAGATATCCAAAAAGTTCTTCAAAAAAAATGTCATCAATACTCCACCTAGTTTTTAGATCAATTTTTAGAGTCTCTGTTTGGTGTTATGGTTGTTATCGATTTGTCACTGGTGCCTCGTCATCATCAAATAGTGATGTCTCCTCGGAAACCTTGCTATGGAATAAATTTATATCTGCTGGAATGGATATCAAGTTTGAAGAGGTTGAAAAGTTCAGACAACAGTCCAGAACACTCATTCCTATCATGTTTGCTCCAATGGATAATTCTCTATTCGGATGTGCTGATAAAATTGAAAAAATTGAAGAATTGAGAGGTTCCTATTGGATTTCATTGGAAAAGAAACAGGGAGCAGTTATGGTATTTATGCATGGAGGTGGATTCATCTCTGGTCATCCAATTGGAATGGATTGTCAATCGATAGTGTATGCTTTAAAGGATTTCAATAAGAAGAATTCGACAACTCAAAAATGTAGTCACGTCTTGTCAGTTGAATATAGATTATGTGATGATCCAAATAATAAGGATAGAATGGATAGAAATTTGTGTACAGATAATTTGAATGATCAATTGGAGGATTGTTATGAAGCTTTCAGATGGTTGATAGAGGAGAAGGGAATTAAGGCAAGTAATATTGTGCTTGCTGGTTATTCTGCTGGTGCTACACATGCTGCAATGCTAGTTTTGAAAAAGTTGATGAATAGTGAAAATCCAGAAATGTGGCCAATTCGATCAGTTGCCATGTGTTCAGCTTCATGTGATCTCTCCAATCGAATTGTTAACTCTGATGAGAAAAAAGCTGGTGGAGTAACAATTATTCATCAAGGTTTGAGAAATCTCATTACCAAGTGCGTTCCACAAGAAGAAAAGGACAAGTACTCTTTGATAGGAACAATGAATGAAATGGAAAAACAAGATTCTTCCTTCTTTTCTAAAGTATTAAGCACCAAATGGATTGTCAATTATAGTAGTGATGAAGAATTGGCAGCTTCCAATTTATATCTTGTGGATAAATTGCAAATGAAAGCTCAGGAGTTGAATCTACCAGATCATCAAGTTGTAGAAATTGCTGAACCAAACCAAATGCATTGCTATTTAGTTGGTTATTCTGTTCTTCAAGTTGCCAAACAATCAATGAGCAGATTCCTTGAAAATGCCTTCAATTAATAAACCTGTACATACTCCTTTTTATTCTAATAAGATATTAAGAAAAGTTTGTTGGACCATTTTTAGCTACCTTAGCACCTTAACAAGGATAATCATTATTTATAATTTTGATGTTGATGTATGTAATCGGGTGTGGTATAGTGGTAGCATTCCAGACTGTCACTCTGGCGACCCGGGTTCAATTCCCGGCACTCGAGTAACAATTTTATTTTATCCAGTTTATTTCTTTTTTTTTGTTTACGATTTTTATGTGTAATGTACTCCAGATATCTTACTTCTTAAGTACGTTTTTATTTTTTAAAATTCTTTTTATTTCCATTTTTGGAAACCTCGGCTTGAAGGTCATTTTTTTTACATCCAAACTAGCTGAGTATTTTGGTAAATTCAAATTATTTTTTTAAACTACTTGATTTGTGTTTGAAAGAGTATGAAAAATGTCTCTTCTGTTACTTTCACCAACACTAGTAATCGAGTTAAATCCTATCACCTTCCTCTAATCTCTGATATAAAAGCAGAGAAATTCAAAACATCCTTTTCCAAATAACAAGCTTCATCGAATTCATTAAACCACTTTGGTTGCATTTCTCTTTTTTATTAGATTGATGAATTTTCAATCAAAAATCCTTGATAATTAGTTATGGCTTGGTCACATCCAGGGATTTGGATTTTACTATTCATCATTTAATAATGATTAATTAAAAAGTAACCCAATAAACACAAAATTATAAGTTGACCCACTTGTTTTTGTACTATTTCCTCTTTTGTCAATTAACATTTTGAGAAAATCATTAAAAAATAAAAATTCAAAATAACCAATTTTAAACAAAATGAAAAAACTATCAATAACAAGCAAACTATTTACAAAGAAGTGGAAATTTTCCCAAAATCAAGTTCGATTTGTTCAAGTAAGTTTCAAACCCCAAATTAATTCACACAATAATCTCTGTTTTTGACAATGAAACTCACACAGACCGCATTGGTCACTGAGGAGGGAGATCGATTTGAACAGGAGGTTCAAAAAACACTCAAGGGAGATGTTGCCAAAACCATAATTGACTATCAAGGATGGAATGAAACTTTAGGATCATCCAGTGAGGCAATCGTTAAAGCAGAACGTTCAGAACAATTGAATGGACCAACGATGGAAGACCTTCAAAAACAAACCATTGAATTTCTTCATGAGAGAGAGGATAAGAAACAATATCCATTCGATAAAGAATAATCAATATGGAGATGAAATAAATTATTGTTCTACCTATTTCAAGCTCGAGAAAGGGATTTTTATTGAACATGAAAAGAACACGAATTGAGTATGAGAGATTATGAAGATATTCTGGTTAGGGATGATACAATACTTTAAATATCAAAGTTTATCCTCTTCAAATAGTAGTGCTGAGCTACTTAGTTGATTTTGTGACCATTAACTGAAATGTTACCATACTTGTAAATAATGACAAACAGAATAATGAAAGTAACGATACTACATGCAAGGAAACAGAAAAACAATCCCAAACCAATAGCTCCAAACTATTACAATTTCAAATTCTGATCTACTTACTTTTCTTCCTCTACTGCTATACTTGGTACGATTTCTTGTAATGAAAAAGAGAACAATCCAAATGATTGGCAAACAAAATCCACCCAAGAATAACAAAAAGGCCATGTCATCATTCTTGTTCATTTCAGAATTTTCATTTGGCATGAGTATTTCATTTGGTCTATTTTCTGTGAGTGAATGCTGAGTTTTCAATTGCTTACTTACTGGTAATTGGTTTGAGAAGGGTAACCATTATTGTGAACGAGTTGATCTTGCATTCGATAAATATATTTGTTTTCTATTCAAATTTGAGTTTCTACCAGTGATTAGTTTTTTTCTGATAATTGTTTCTCAAACAGAGTGAATCAAACACTTGTAGTCAATTTTGGCCATAAAACAAGTAACCCTTACAGTCAACATATTGGCATTAGATTTCAATGTGCTGCTCTTTCTTCCTTTTTACCTTGTGTAATCGTGATACATAATTATTGGAATGTTATTGGAAGGTTACATGAATTCACAGTATTCAAACTCTAATTCTGAAGAGATTTGAAGTTGGCGATTTCACAAATAGAGACCAATCGAGAGAGTAACACCAATTCTTATACTGATGAGAGTACATGAATCTTGGAATAATATCACTCTTAATCATATGAAGAATGATCGAGTGAGCCTCATCGAACACGTCCATTGTTAAAACCGACAAGATATTAGAGGTCGCATGTCACGCTTCATAGTATTGTTGTGAACTTTGAAAATTCCCAAACCAATAGCTCCACACTATATCAATAATTCATTAATTAATCATATTCAACATCTTTAACAACTTACCTCTATCACCAGTCAATAAGGCATTTTGTCTTAACATTTGTTATAGTTTCGAAATTGCAGCAATCATCTGATACGTTTCCATAATGAGCATGTTAATATATAGATCAGTACTTAAATGCTGACACTTGGTTAGGATAACAAATAGATTCCTTTTCAATTTTACAAATAAGGGATTGTAAAAATTATGTCATAACACCTATAGTCTATTATAGCACAGATTTGCTTTCTGACTAGAATGTTTTTGGAAGGTTACATACTTCTCCAGTGCTTTGAACCCTTGCTCTCAGTGTATTCATAATATTCTTGTTATTAATTTCAACATTTAGTGAGCTGGTTAAACTTTTCATCAAAGAGGGGTAGAGCAGTACTTATTAATGAATATAGGTCAATACTATTTGTTAATATTGAATCAAGAAAAGCATTGAAAATATTGTGGACTAAACCAAACTTTTGTTTACAAAAAATCAATCTGATCCTCTTTACTTATACAAATTGAATTATTTGTACTTGTATATTATACATCAATTATTCCTTAGTAAATTTACCATAAATAACTTTGGCATCATTGAAATCATCAACAACAACCTTTGAAGTAACATGCTTAACACCATCCTTTTCAACTTCTCTATATTTCAATGAACCTCTAATAGAGACAATGACACCCTTCTTGAAGAATTTAGTGGCAACCTTTGCCAAAACTGGATTGAAGGAAACTACACTGTGGAATGTAGATTGTTCTTCAATATTTTCACCCTTCTTAATTCTCTCCGAGGTAACAACAGTCAAACCAGTAAAAGTTCCACCATTTGCAATTTCCTTTATAACAGCATCAGAAGCAAGAGTACCAATAAGATGAACAGAATTGACTGATCCTCTAATTTGGAAAGTTTGTCCTTCTTCTTGAGAAGGTGCTGGCTTTGAAGATACATTTGTCTTTTTGTATGAAGAATTTGATGATGATGAATAAGAAGGAGTATCACTATTTGATGATGAAGAGGATGAAGTTGTTGTTGTTGGTTTAACGCTCACTCTTCTGGTAACATCGGAGAGGGTTTGGCTTGTGTGATAGGAACAAGCAGAAGAAGCGAATTGATGGTGGTGGTGATACAAGGCTGAAGATCTGTTGCCAATAATTGAAATTCTCTTTAACATTTTTTTAATTTTTTAAATTTTCCAAAGTTGAGCGGGAGAGTTTCATATCCTCGGAATTGATGAAATGATGATGATATTGATGATGGAATGAATAGGATGAGATTATTCATAGGAATGTATCAATAAGGTCTCATTCCGATTAAATTAATTTTTCATCAAATCAATTATTAAAATTTCAGAGATGATGAAGAACAAAGTAATCTTTCCTTTCATCAAACATCTTTTCAACTGCAAGCAAATATCATTCTCTTTGCATATAAACTAATAGAAAATGAAAAGATCAAGATAGCCGTTGCCAACTGCAGTTGTTGTTTCCAAATAGAAAAAAATGGGCAACGTGAACAAGCAATTGGATCGTCATCAATTGTTTGATATTCAAAAGAGAACAACCTGTAGGTAGAAGAATTATTGTTACTTTAAATGTATCTAATTTATTGTTGCTCCTATCATGATCTTTTGGATTTTTAAATTCCGATACTTGTTCATGAATTATAATAATATTAATTTTAATAATGGGAATTTAATCATGATAATTTAATTTGGATAATATGATAATAGTATCGGCAAAGGAAATTAAGGAATGGTACTCGTTGTTTATGAAACAATTTCAAGATACCAAAGTTTCAAAGGATAAATACTTGCCAAGCCTAAAGATTCATAGTTTACCATCGAGTTATGAAAATACGACAACAATAATCACAACAACATCTCCATCTTTGAATAATAGTAATACTAATGGAAATAATTCATCTTTAAATAATCAACAATTGGATTCTAATGAAATTAGTGATAAACAAGTAGAAATTGAAATTGTTGATAAGAAGGAAATGACAACGTCGACAGCACCAAATCATGAAAAACAAGAACCAAAGAAATTGACAGATCTTACCTATCCAGAATTAATTTATGATACAACCCACTTGTCATTTCTCAAATATTTCTATTCGGAAGATTATCCAGGATCAAATTATAGGAAGAGTCAGTTACAGTTCGTACATTTCATACCATCGTATGAAATTTATTTGAAAGGTAATAGAGTATCACAAGCAGATTGGACCTATACAGCCATAACAAGCCAGAAGAGGATGGAAGATACAGAACCAGAAAAGAAGAAGAAGCATACACCATTTTCCATCTCCTTTCATGACTTGTCTGTATTCTTTGAAGTTATCTATGGATATCTTCAACTGAGGCCTTTCGAAATTGGAAAGCTGCCCAAACACCTGCACAGTCCAGAAGCATGTACAAGATATGTTTTTCAAAATGTATTGAATTTTGTTGGAATTGATACTGATAATTTGGAAAACAAAGCAATCTCCAAACAACAATTTATGGATTATTGTTTTCATAAATTGAGTCAAGAAAGTACTCAAGTATTGGAACAGTCGTCTCAAACCAACCTTGTCAATTAATTGTAAATTTTGTAAATATTTCAAAAACTCCCAAATTAAATTACATTTCAAATCAAATATTAATGAGCTTGGCAAGTTTATCTTTCCAAGAATTACTGAATCAGTGAATTGTAAATTATTCAAAGAATATTGCAACTAGTTCTTGCATGTCAACGTCAGAAATTCATCAGTGATTATTTCAATTTTAAAAAAAATGGTGAATGGAATCTTTAATAGTGGCAGAGCATCTGTCGATTTTAATTACCGTCCTGGTATGCATCGGTTTGCAGATCCTTCAATGACCAGTGACAGAATAATGCTAGGAAGAAGTCCAGGAGCTGGTTTCGGAGGCATGTATTTAATGTCAGGTACATCAGAAATTTCTGCTTTAACAACACCTTCACAATCCACAAAAACATCTTTTGATTCGATTGGAAAAATTTGGATTAATTTAATTGAAGCAAGAAAACTTTTGGCAGCTGACGTGAATGGAACCTCAGATCCTGTAAGTTTTTGTGTATTTCATATTTAATTTTACAAATTTGATATAGTATGCTGTTATATTGTGTAGGTGTTATGAATTTTAAATTGAGTTTAATAATAATGAAAGTTGGTGATATTCAAAAAAAGTCACGTGTCATGTACCATAATTTAGATCCAATTTGGAAGGAAGAATTTTATTTTGATATTTGTGAAACGAATGAAAGTTTAAAGATTTATATTATGGATAGTGATACAATTGGTTCAGATGATTTTTTAGGATTGGTTGAAGTGCCAATCAAGTCAATTGTTGAATCAAAAAATGATTTAATAGACAAGTGGTATAAATTGAAATCTACTTCAGTAAGTTTACAATTTTTCAAATCAAATGAAAATTAACTTTCTCAGTTGACTACTCGAGTAACAGGTGAACTTCATTTGCAACTCAAATTTTTACCAAACAATGCACGTCAAGCCATAATGTCACCAATCACGCCAATTCCAACTTATTCGGATACTGATTTATCCAGTGAACGATCCACCGATTATATGGAACAAGTAGATGATCTGGGAGCCAATTTTTCAATGAATACTGAAAAAATGTTGAGTGACATTCATTCAGCTCGTTATTTACATTCATTTATGAAGGAGCAATTTTGTGAGGAATGTTTGGAATTCATTTATGCAGTGGAACAATTTAGGAAAATTTATAAAAATCGACAAGTGGATCCAAAAGAATTGAAGAAGGTTGCATTTGTAGTTTATGAGAGATTTTTACAATTTGGAAGTCCACAGGAGGTTGCAATTCCGTTCATGATTAGAGTAGAGCTACAGGACTTTTTTGAGAACAAATTGGAAGATGAGACGTCTAATATATTGTCGGTTTTAACAATTGACGTGTTCGATGAGGCTCACTCGATCATTCTTCACATGATTAAGAGTGACATTATTCCAAGATTCATGTACTCTCATCAGTATAAGAATTGGAGTTACTCTCTCGATTGGTCTCTCCAATTCCGAATGATGGAAGAAAAGAGGAGAAAGCAAAGTTTGACCTATCTCATTGAAATGATGGATGAGAAGAGTTTGCAATTTTTAAAGAAGAGAATTATTGAGAGACAAAAGAAAAAGAATTCCTCCAATAGTACTTCTTGTAATTCTGCATTTGATGATTGTGATTCGGATGAGGAAGGAATTTTGGAAGAATTGAATTTGAGTGATTTCAAATCAACTAAATTTTCCTCAACCCAACAAGCTCAACAGGGCCAACAACAACCAACAATTGATATGGGAGAGTTTGTTTTAACCTTGTAAATAATAAATAAGCTCACAGAATTTGATTTATTTCCCTTTTTTCACTTTTTTCATTAATAATCAGGATGTTGGTTGCGTGCTGGTATCGTTTGGGTTAACGGAATGGTCAAATGTCTGGTCAAGGTAAAGAGCATTTATACTCAGGTTTAACAGTATCTAATGTCATCCTCATCTTTTTCATAGACAAGTACTTCATAAATCAACGTTTTCAACTTGGGAGCTAGTGCTAATTTAATTTTCTCAATGTGATCTTCTTTAAAAATTGTTCCATCCAAGTCCAATGTTGTCAAGCTCTTCATGAGACATATAACTTGTAAATCCAATTCTGGATCACTGCCAATCTGTGAACATCCCCTCAATGACAAACAGCTTAATTGACTCAATTTGGCGAGTTGTACTAAAGAATCATGAGTTATTGATCCATTACATCCCAGGTTTAGTGAGGTCAATTTTGGCAGCTTTTCACAAATTACTTTAACTTCCGAATCTCCAATCCAGGTACTTCCAAGGTCAAGGCTTGTGAGATTTCTCAATTTTGAGCAGACAAATGAAAGCAAATCCTTGTTCATATTTGATAGTCCAATATCAAGAGATTGTAAATCTGTTAAAGCGCAAATATTTCTTATATCACCATGGTTGATTTCAGTACGACACAATCCAAGAGATTTCAGTTGTTTCATTGAGCTGATTATTGTTGTGCCAACATTTCCAACTTTGGTATGTCTCATGTTTAATTCAGTTAAATTTTCCAAGTTTTGTATGTATTTCAAGTTCCTTGGATTTATACTACAAACTTCCAATGTTAAGGAGTGTAAAAGTTTCATATTTTGGCAGAAACTCATTCCCTTTTCATCTATTGAAGCTCCATACAGAGACAAACTTGTTAATTTATCCTTCAAACAATCACTCAATATCTTAAAATAACTACTATCAACAGTAACAAGCCAATTACTTCCAATTCCATCATAATGATAGGCAAATGATGTGATATTTGCATGTTGCTGCAATCAAGAGAAAGAATTTCTTGAAATGGTTCAAAATAGAACGATTTCACCTTCAAATGAATAGGAAATTGTCTAATTGCCACCAAATACCACTGTTTTGATACGAGAGAATACCTCTCCATCACTTCTTTTCTATCCAAAAATTTTAATATTTCATAACAAATATCATCGGGTATGATCGGTGCCTCACTACTTTCAAACTTCTTTACAGGAGGAGAGGCAGATAACCCTTGCTTGTCCATGTTTTGTATTGGATTTTGCTGCTTTTGGGGGTTTTGATGGTTTACTCATTTTTTTATTGAGTGAACTTGAACCTCCTTAATAGAATTTAGAGATTTAATGAGAGATAATTGTTGATTACAATAATCCATGGTCATTTAGTAAGGCAACGCCTCTCTCTTATTAATTTACTTAATTAGTGTAGGGCAGAGTGTGATTTTAACCTGTCCCTTCAATCAAGGTACTTATCATTGTTCTGATACACGTATTCAATGAAACAAAAATATTGTGAAGATTTCTTGTTTTTGGATTCTTATTAAGTTGGTAGATTGAAGTGTATCAAGATTAGAGAATAAATTGGAATCAAACTTTTATACAATGTTCTTGAAAAGAAAAGTCGATATTCCTGTATGAATCTATCAAGTGCAGGTTTAGACTCAGAAAACACCATTTCAATTAAAATAAACAAAAATACAAACACCACATAAATGACTCATTAATCCAAATTGTAATCAATTTTTGTAAACTTTCCAAAAAGATCTTTAATTGTACAGTTTTCAAAAACAACTCCTAAAATCACCATATTTGAAATTGTAAATCCAAAAGGCGCCAAACAAATGAGTTCCATCGAGCAAATCCACGAAAAATCATCAAATCTCAATATTTATTTTTAGAAGCAACATTTGAGTCATTATTGCTTTCTCTGAAAAGTGCGCCAAAAAAACCTTCCAATTTGAACCTCAATCTTCATCCCTTCAAATATGACACGTTCTCTTCACCACATCATAATAAGCAGCACTTGCTGAGTTTTATTAATAACCAAGGAATAAAACTACTAGTAGCTGTTGGGCAAGGGCATTTGAATAAAACGGTTAGCAAGGGAGTGGTGACTCGAACAATTTTCCATAATAAAAAAAGATAACAACTTGAATCAACATTGATTGTAATATAATAATAGATATGGCTCAAAGATCTTCATTGCCACTTCATAGTCAAGAAGAGGAACAAGCTTCCTTAACTGCTAATGCTGCTCCTCATCATCATCCTCATCATAGAATTAAACAACAGGATGAGTCACATTTTGTGATATTAGAGAATGGATCTTCTGTTCCATTGTCAGATGTGATGGATAAGGAGGAAAGAGAAAATCCGAGTGATTTGTTGTTGAGAATGATGAAGAAGAGAGCTGTTGCATCACTACTCGATTCACGAAGGAATACTTTGAAGCAATAATTGAGTATTCTTTCGAATGTATTTGTATGGTATTCTTCATAGTATTGGAATACATTGGATAACAATCAACATGCATAATGTTGATTTTGTATAATATAGCACATCGAGTATAGCAACACCTCTAACTTATCTAACTAAATAAAAACGTTTTAATTATTTCAATCATTCTCTATTCGAAATGTTTCTTTTGAAATTTCAGGCTTTGATTCCTTGTTCCTCGTTTCGAATGAAAAGAAAATAAAATTCAAGTTCTAAAAGCTTTCAAAACTTGCCTTCTGATTTGACTTTCTAATTCTTCTTCCCAAATCCTTGTCTAATGGAACGTTACTGGCACGAATATTCTTAAGATTGGGTGATCTTGCAACAAGTGTCTTGATACTCTTTTCATTAAGACTAGTTCCTCTAATGTCAACAATTGCCAGATAGGGAAGTGTTGATTTTTTGGATTGGAATTTGAGTTGTGTCAGTTGAGTACATGAAGATACATTCATCTTGATGAGAGAATTAGATCCTTCAGGTATTATTATTGATTTGACATTTCCACTATTCATGCTTAATACCCTCATCGATGGAAGAATATTAATTGAAGGAATTTCTCCATCAAATGTTAAACTTTCCAAATTTGATAACTCACTCAAAACCTCTTGAAATTTCGGTCCAACCTTTCCCTCATGAATTGCAATCCTTTTCAGATTTTTAAAGAGTGGAATACTTTGTCTAAAATTCACAATGTTACAACTCCTTAATGTTAGAGAGTGGACGCTAGAGAAGGCGTTTTCCTTTGCCTCATTTTGTACGACCAATTCCTTAATTTCACAATTGGTTGCATTGATATCTTTCAATAAATTAGATTTCAGATAAACGTAGGAGGTATAGGTAATGTTCAAGCTTTCAAGAAGTGGTGCAAATATTGAGAATTTCACATCGGTTGCCTGCTTTAGTAAAATCTCCAATCTTCTCAAATTCTTGTGGTCTATATTGAAAACGAATGAGTCATTGGAAAATCTAGATGACAAACCAAACTCCTCTAAATTATTGATATTCATCAATAAACGTGACATTCTCACCGATGAAATGTGTTTCATATTGCTTTCAATGTGAAAGTGTAGCTTCTTCAATGCCTTCATGTTTTCATATTGATTTGACAGATAGGTCCACAGAGGTGACTCAAAATCTCCATAATAGAACAGTGATTCGAATGTATGCATCATTGGTTCTGGTGTCATACTTCTCAATCCATTACAATTGGAAAGTTTGATGTGGCGAATTTGTGGATAAATCTCACGATCTCCCAATTCAAAACTGAATTCTCTTAGACTTTTTACATGTTTCAGGGAGAGTTTCTCGAGAACTATTCCATTATTTTCAATTAAATGAAGTCCCACACAAGCAATTGATACCTTTTCGAGTTGAGGCATGGAAGAGATTTTCAAAGTTCTCAGCTGTACAAAATTATTCACGTATGGATCTTTGAGAATATGAATCGATCGAATATTAAAGCAATCTCTAATTCTAAACTCAGTCAAAGAGTCAGAACATTTTCCAAGCAGTGCATTCAAGTGTCCATTGAACATGAAAGAATTTGCAATTCGTAAATTTTGTAATTTTTTCAATTCACTCAGCACCATGAGCTCTCCAAAATTTTGAAGTATTAACTTTTCTATATTTGGTAAATCCAACTGTACAAGACTCTCTCTACAGCAAACTGGATAGTTAATGAAACGTAGCTGTTTCAGAGAGTTGCTTTTGAGAATTACTTTCCCATCTACTTCAGTGTTAGAATCTGGTCGAATTATGGAAACATTGAGGTATTGTAAATTTGGAAGATTATTGAGAATTTTCTGAATATCTCTTGCTTCCTTTGTGCGAAATGCTTCAATAACCATCTTGGTTAAATTATTTCTTGGAATGGTTGGTAAATTGAATGGCTGTATGCAATTCAAACCCCCAATCAAAATTTCTTCCATTTGTGGCAAAACTTCTTCTCTTTCAATTTGGAAAAATGTATTCACAAAATCTTCTATTGTAATATTTTGACATCCAAAACTCTTCAATGATGTCCCTAGTTGATTACTGATCGCCAATAATTCATTCTTACTAAACTCATAACATGTTATGTTTCCCCTCTTGTTAAATCCAAAATGTAAAGATTCCAAACTATTTAAACTCGATATAAACTCATTAAACCCCTGATTGGCAATAAATGATAAATTTTGATTGGCATCATTTGTGAAAAATGAAATTTTCAATCTTTTAACATTGGTCTGAGCTAGAAATTCCTTAATAATCCTCAATTCATTCGAAACATCCTTAAATTTAATATTCAATAATTGTAAATCACACAACTCGGTAAAAGACTCTGCCAAATATTGAATATCATTCCTTTCCAATGAAATATACATGTACTTTTCAAAATCCAAAACCAATCTCGTCACATTCACTAAAAATGGGAAATGTTCCAAATAAATTGAAAAGAAAGACCTCAAGGTTGTGAAATTACTAATAGGAAGAGAAATATTTGACAAGATTGCCATTCCCAATGTTGAACTCGTCGAAGAATCAAACACCAAAGCATTTGAAATTGTTGGAAGGAAATTCATTTCATCCAATCCTTGCCAAAACTCCTTTCTCATCAAGTATTCACTCCTCAAATAGGAACACGTTTGAGAGAATTTCAAAATTGAATTTAAATCCAAATAACTGACAATAATTCTCATCTGATAGAGGGGAATATATTGGAAAAAGTACTTTTCGGAATTGTTAACAAGATTGGGTCTTCTTCTTTTGGCTTCAATTTCTGTAATGTCCACTTCTTCAACCTCGTAGTCATCATCATCTCCTACTACTACTAGTTGATGATTAATTTCATTATTTTCCTCTTGATGATTATTGGTTTTACTATTTTCTTGGAATTTTCGTTTTAGTGGATTTTCATTATTTTCATCATCATCATCGGAAATGACCACTACATCATCATCACTACTACTTTCCGAAGAGGAAGATGAATCTTCATCCTCCTCCTCATCACTAAAATCCAAGTCAATTTCGTTGCTTACTTGACTTTTAGTCATTTCAATTTTTTTTTTGTTTCAGATTTTAAATTGAAGATAGAAAGTAAATTTTATGAAACAAGTTTAAAGAACAGTGACAGTCTTGGCCAAATTTCTTGGTTTGTCTGGATCGTGACCACGGAGAAGAGCCAATTCGTAAGCAACCAATTGGAGTGGAATATTGGCCAACAAGGCACTGAAAATACCATTAGATGGAACATCAATAACATAGTCAGCTTCATGGGATGGAATCTTATCTGGAATATCAGTAATAGCTACAGTATAAGCACCTCTTGATTTGATTTCAGCAGCAGCTGTCATATTCATCTTAAAGTACTTGTCATCAAGAATGAAAACAAAAATAACAGTTCCTGGTTCAATAAGGGCGAATGGACCATGTTTCAAGGCACCAGATGAGTAACCTTCGGCGTGAGTGTAAGTAACTTCCTTAACCTTCAAAGATCCTTCATAAGCAACAGCTTCACCATAACCCTTACCCAACATGAAAAGAGTATTGCCCTTCATGTTATAAATATGTCTGGCAATATGTCTACACTTCTCTCTAACTCTGCTCAAAACCATACCTGCACTAGTTGGCAAACGATGGAGGTATTGAATAATGGCTTGACGATGTTGAAGTTGGAATTTTGGTGATCTGTTTTGAGCAAACCACAAACCAATCAATGCCAAAACAGTAACTTGGCAAGAGAATGCCTTGGTTGAGGCAACAGCAGTTTCACGACCAGCATTAATATACACACCACACTTTGTAGTTCTAGCAATAGTTGAACCGACACGATTAACGCAGGAGAAGCTTGGAACGCTCAATTGTTCTGCAATATAAATACATCTCAAAACATCAGCTGTTTCACCACTTTGTGATAAAACCAAAAGGCCAGAATTTTCAGGGCAAAAATGTGATTCCTCAAGTTCAGCACCATCAATAACTTGGATAGTCTTGAAGCATCTCAAATCTCTGAAAATTTGAGCACCATAGAGACCAGCATAGTAACTAGTACCACAACCAGCAATAACCAAATGTTCAATACCAGATAACCATTCCTTATTATCATCCAAACCACCCAATTTAACATGACTATCATCACTAATTCTACCACCAAAATTCAAAGATCTTGAAATTGATTCAGGTTGCTCCAAAATTTCACGAATAGTCCAGTGAGCATGTGGATGAGGAGTCTTTTCAATCTTTTCTTCTTCAACAACAATCTTTCTTTCATAAGGAAGAGTAACACCTTCAGAGGTAATGACAGCAATTTCATTATTTTCCAAACTGATCATTTCTCTAGTGTACAATCCGAATGCAGAACTTTCGGAAGCAACAAACATCTTACCTTGTGAAACACCGACCAAGAGAGGAGAACCATTTCTGGCTACAACCAAACGATCTGGTTCAACTGTAGACATAATAACCAAACCCCAAGTACCTTCCAAATGTTTAGTAGTCTTGAGAACGGCCTTTTCAACAACATCTTGCTTCATTCCATCCTTTAACATTTGGTCCAAATAGACACCAATCATTTGAACAATAACTTCAGTATCTGTTTCACTCTTGAATTTAATTCCGTGCTTTTCTATCAATTCCTTTTTCAATTCACCAGAATTTTCAATGACACCATTGTGAACAAGAATCACACGACCAGATTGATCCATGTGAGGGTGAGCATTCATATCAGTTTTAGCTCCGTGAGTAGCCCATCTAGTGTGAGCAATACCAATACTATCATTTCCGTGTGTATGTAAAGTTTCTCTCAATCTCTTAAGAGCATCACTTGTTGTTTGAGAACTGGCATATTTAGTTGTGTGGAAGCAAGGTTCTCCCTTATCGTTTTGTCTTAAGNGTTGCAATACCT